CATTGAGAAAGGGGACCTCGCGCTCGACATGAGGCAGGTAGACCTTGTTGTTGAGCCCAAGAACCTTGATGGTGACTCCGTCGTTTGTTGCTATTATTTCGCCAATCACCGCGACAGATGCCTCTTTTGGTTGGAAGACTTCAATCCCGAAGACATTATTTCGGAATGTAAAGGCGTCTAGAGTCCCTCACATGTATGTGGGTAGCTAATAGTTCTAAGAGGATCTTGATCTCATGGCTTGTTCTCGTTTTCATAACCAGGGTTTGCCATTGAAGCACAATATTGGTGTGTTCCAGTAAAGGTTCGCACGGTATCTTTACCTCACTGTCCCATTCCTGATAAAATTCTAGATCATATGCAAGTAAATTAACATAAAATGTAGGAAACATTGGGATTACTTTCCTAGCCTGTGCCCAGTTACACAAAACATTGTCGATGAAGTTAAGGATATGTTGATACATGCAACATGTGGTCAGTACTCTCCTAGATCTGATAATTTGGTCTGACGCATATGGTCGCAATGAGCAGACCACTTGACATCGATGCAGTCTTCTGCGGCATTTGATGCCATTGAACTCAAGGACCATCTTTCTGTGGTTAACAAAATCAAGGGTGTGCTACTTTGACACCTCCTCGCAGACTGCCATGCGCTAATCCTTTTTTTTCAAAGTCCATCCCACTTCCCCTACGGACCAGAGTATGCGACGAGGGCATGCTGCTATTGTCATTGGTGAGGCTTGAGCCTGAGTTCGATCTATTCCATTACTGGTGTTGATCATCATCTAAGGCCGCATCATGCATATATTCAGTCAGTGCTCTCATTTATACATCTAACTGTAATTCACACTCGTTTTCAAGCTCATAACTACTTTGTGCATTATTACGGTGAAGACTGCGTGAGACTGAAGTTTGAACGATCGGTCCACGGTTGGGCATATAAACCATCACCATTGATGGTCATTCTCGCACCCCTTCTGTTCTTTGACCCCGTGGCTCAAGTCCAAGAACTGCACAAGATTTTTGTGGACGAGGTTGCTTACACGTCACGGTGGAATGAATTCTGTTCAAAATTCAAAGGGCAGCTTCAGGGCTCCAACCTCTTGGTAAGTCCACCTTTTCATTGTAATAAACTTTCATGCGATCAATGTTGAATCAGGCCACTGTCTTACTCAATGCCAACGTTGGGTTTCTTGCCATCAACACTGTTGATAAAGGCGGTAGAGATGCCATTCAGTTGGCAAGCTACATGTCCTTGGTGACGAGCTTGGGGAGCATAGTCCTCGGCCTGTCCTTTGTCTCATATGATCGAACCTCTGGACAAAATACAGCCACGGAAGTGGTCAGTATCCCACCGTGTTACTGGAACGTTTCTTATGGCAGTTTGTTCAGGTAGAATTTCTAGGAAGACTTCATGACAGAAAACACGGACTGGAAAAGTTGGCTATAATCTATAGCCTCCCCAGGGCATTGCTGATGTGGGGGTGAGCCTGCACTCTTAATATAATAGGCGGGGCCCTGATATCAATGTATTAGTATGGCCTTCTTCTTTGCGGCATTCTCGATCGATTGGTAGACTTCTGGAGATATGACTTCAGGACTATTGTTGGGACTGTGACACTGGTCGTATTGGTGATGATTTCAAACAGTATCATTCTCACCAGGGGGCCAACCTGGCTATGTGGAGACATTGCCAAGAAACTATCGTCTCGTCTGACTGACGTTCGGAAGCAAGTCATGGAGCTCGGCTAAATGTACCCTACTGGCGACCCTCGAACCTATCCTAACGCGATTGACCTTGGTACTTCCATTGGCCTCTCTGCCGAGGCGGATGCTCCAATGTGCAGCGTCTTTTATATTACAGCTTTGCCCTAATTCAGAAACACCGAGCCCAGACAACCATGAAAATCACCCCAACTACCCTATCCCCCCGGTCCTGCCATACCACCCCACCGCTTCCGTAGATGCACCCCAGCAACTATATGCTGTCAATTTCGTGCTGCCACCATCGGATTCATGCACCAACCCAGGTGTTATGTCAGGCGCAGACTCTTTGCAACGGATTCGAGAAAATACCCAGACGGTTTTCCAGGACCAATCTACCACGGAGGCTCGCAGCGAGCCTGGTGGTGTCCCCTTGTACGTGCCCTTTAACACATTTCCAAGCTCACCGGCCAATGCACCACGGCATTCTGATGCTTTCCCTACTGGCTTACAAAGTGCAGCGGTAGCCACCGGCACGGGCGCACCCATATCGCCTGGTTCGTTTGGTACAGAAGAAAGGGAGGGTGTGACGCACATCAAGAATTTGGTCGAAGAGCCCTGGGAACTCGAACATCCTCAACATTTACCAAGCACAACGCCACCTCCAAGAATCTATGCTAGAAGTGCTACTGGTGACCATTTCCGTCATGCGCCAGGAGCTCCCCAGTCGACGCCACTTGAAGCCGACCATGGCATAGTAGAGGAGTGCCAGGAGTAGGAATACATACTGGTTCTGACCTGCAGGGTCGCCATGGCAGATTATAAAGGACACGAGGGTCGTCAAGCTCGTGGTGGTTGTTCAAGCTTCAAGGACCATGGAAGGTGCACATGAGCAGCTGCGGCTGGGACTAGTGGTAGCAGTAACACAATTGACCATCATATAGCGAAATGTGTAGTGAATAGTGCAGAATATCAACATGGCCGTGGAAAGACAAGTTGGAACGAAGGAACAAGGGCAACGTATTCCGCTCGCTGCTCATCTGTCATCACATTACCGCGGACGATCAGACTATCCAGTGGACACTCTGACTGTGCCAGGAATGCCTTGAACTCTTCGTGAGGCCACTCTGATACACCGTGAACAGCAAGTACGCGTAGAGTGGGGAATGAGAGAGCATCGAGCAGGTCGCTGAAATCGAGCGTCTCGTCATCATACGAGAGCGGACGTCCTCGTGCTCGCTTGAGCCAAAAGTCGTAGCAGAAGGCTGCCTACTGCCAATTTCTGTCGTCATCTTCCACAGACAGCACACACCACAAGTTGGGCATGCCTACAGCAACCTCCCTCTACCGTCGACATATTCTAGTCAACAGCATAGGTGCAGTTACCTTTGATGGGGGCTGGAATTCATGGAGTTCCGAGATTTGCGGGAGACAGTGGCAAAATATTTGGGACAGGACTTCAGTTGGCAAGCGCCAAAGAGGTGATACGAGCCTCTTGTGCATATTAATGGATTCGATGATCTTGTTCTTCTGCTCGACGACATGCTGCTGAAGAGTGTGGATACCATCCACGACTGTTTGTAAACCTGAGGTGTTCGAGTCGTGCAAAACTGCGTCCAACTGGTGTTTGCGTTCGGTGACGACTGGTACTGATGTTCTGGTCTTGCTCAATTACAGTGATTGGGATTGGGGAATTTTGTTCGGGAGTACAGGGTTTCGAGATCAGGTATATCATCAGGCTGCTAATGGTCAATAATGCATCGGATGAAACATCCTCACTGACGTACAATTTCTCGTGAGCATAGCTGAAGCGAATGGTTGTTATTCGCAGAGGCCCAGTGTCTAAAACTTCGGTGCTTACGATGGTCTGCAGCGCAGCGATGATATCCGAGACCGTCGAAAGATTGACTTTGGAATTGATCACTTGCATGTTGCGACTCGCAAAATACGTGCAACTGGATAGTAGAAAAAGCGACACGCTCATCGCTCCAGCCAAGGACGAGGATAGACACAGATGCTCTTAATAAAATCTATGCGGTGATGACAACAAGGAGGAATAAAATCACAAAGGGTCTTAAGCATTCAAACAGCACGAAAAAAGGCATGGTGCGTAGTGATGTCATCTTTCAAAGTTGTGATACGAGTCTTCTACTAGGATAGTAACATACAGCAGTGGTAGCATAAAGTATACACGGAGAGTGGCACGACCCACCGTCATATGGCGAAACCTGTAACGAATGGTACAGGTTATAATACAAATTAGAACGAAAGAACGGGGGCAATGTATTCCGCCCACTGCTCGTCTGTCACCGCACTACCACAGACGGACAGAGTCTCCAGCGGACACTTTGACCGTGCCAGGAATGCCTTGAACTGATCATGAGGCCACTCTGATACATCCTGAACAGAAAGTACGCGTAGAGTGGGGAGTGAGAGAGCACCGAGTAGGTCGCGGAATTGGAGCGCTATGGCATCATCATCATCACCATCAGTACCTCTACAATAGATGTATAAGGTTTGAAGGTTTGTGTGTGTGAATGGCTTTAATGTTTCGCCGTAAAAGAATAATATGGAAATCGTTAACGAGGATAGGTTGGGAGCTAGTTGGAGCAAGTGGTGAGCAGCTTTTGCGTCCCATGCTTCGATCTCGAGTGTTGTTAGATGGGCCCATACGGGATTGCAAGAGGACAAGTCGTCAAAGTCGAATGACCACCCTGATACCTCAAAACTGGACAGAGTAGACGGCAGCTGCGAGATAGGGCGTGAAGTACTGGCTGTCACATCACTACCAGAGATATCTTCATGGAAGTACACGGTCATCTCCTCAAGTCCTGGGAGGTCTCTGAACATATCAAGTTCAGGTGTGTCAGAACGGTAGAAATCGACATAGAGAGATTTCGTTTGATTGATGTAAGGCTGAAGAAGGCATTGTAGCTTGGTCGAGTGATCATCTGCGCGGAACTGGAGTCTTAACGAGAGTGGACGTCCTCGTGCTCGCTTGAGCCAGGTGTCGTAGCAGAAGGCTACCTGCTGCCAATTTCTGTCGTCAACTTCCACAGACAGCACGCACCACAAGTTGGGCATGCCCACAACAACCTCCCTCCACCGTCGACATATTCTGGTTAACAACATAAGTGTGGTCAGCTTTGATGGTGGCTGCAATCCATCGAGATTCTGAATTGGCGGGAGACAGTGACAAAATATTTAGGACAGGACTTCAGTTGGCAAGCGCCAAAGAGGTGATACGAGCCTCTTGTGCAAATTGATGGATTCAATGATCTTGTTCTTCTGCTCGACCTGAAGAGTGTGAATACCATCCGTGACTGTTTGTAAACCCAAGATGTCATGCAAAACTTTGTCTAGCTGGTGTTGACGTTCGGTGATAATGGCATTGATGCTCTGGTCTTCGAGCTCAATTGCACAGTGATTGGGATTGTTGAATGTGGTTCGGGAGTATGGGGTTTCGAGATCAGGCATATCAGGCTGCTAATGGTCAATAACGCATCGAATGAAACATCCTCACGGACGTACAATTGCTCGTGAACATAGCTGAAGTGATTAGATTGTTATGAGCAGAGGAGTGCCTAAAACTTCGGCACTTACGATAGTCTGCAGGGCAGTGATGATATCCGAGACCGTCGAAAGATTGGCTTTTGAATCGATTGTTTGCATGTTGTAAGTCGCAAAGTATACGTCCAACTAGTATTGGGAAGAGTTTAAAAAGGATCCGAGTCGGGTAATATGTACAACAATGATGCACAAATCATGTTTTATGTAAGCGCGAGGCACGAGCACGTGCAGAAAACGACGTCTATGTAGGGGCCGAGTAAGGTTAGGAGAACGTTCCTTTCTTTCTCGCTACCACCAGCTCGGCATAAGTGCTCGTATATCGATTGTTTTCCTCTAGTCATTTGCCTCGAAACATTGATATTCGAAATCAAAACATCTTCTCTTTTCACCATGAATAGACTTATAGTGGATCCTAACCTGGAACACTGTCCAGACTTCACTTTGGCTGCATTCCAACCCAGTTGTCTTCTGCTCTTAAATCCCTTGACTGATGATGCACAAGCAGCTGTTATGCTACAGAACATCTGGCTGGCCATGAACTCTACTCTAAAAATTCAATGGCAGCAGCAACTTGACTCTGACACATTGGAAGTCACAGAACAACAATGTCTACTTGACAAAGCTGCTGAGCAATGTCTTGATGCTCAAAAGCTACAAGATGCTGTTCTTGCTGAGGAAGACAGGAAGAAGAACCATATCCATCACATTGTTATTCCTGACCATCCCCACCCCAAGTGGGCTGCTGAGGAAATTCTTGTCTCAGACTTTGCCTTGTGCAAACTTGACAAAGCGCAATTCATGGAACTATACTACTGGACTAACAAGGGTCTTGCTGATGTGAGAACAAACTTCTGTACTTTGGATGATGACAGCATGGTTCCAACAGTGGGTGTTGATGGTTCTGCTACATGGATATCAGCCAGTGTGGCTCATCCAGCCACTGGTGTCATTCCTGACCACCTCCTAGCTCTGCTTGATTTTTCATGCGCAATTCCCCACTTCATTGCCTCTCATGAGCAGCATGGCTGGGCCAACTCTCACATCATTATGTTAGCTAACTTCTTTGGTGCCTTAATGTTACATAAGTACTGGACCTTGGACAACATTTTGGAAATGTGCATTCTTCTTTCTTACCAGGAAGAACAGTGCCATGCATGGCACCAGGCCATTACACAGCCCTCTGGTGCTTGGAACATCTCCATCATAGACACTGCAGAAATGTCTAGCGTTTATGATCACATTTATCATATTAACTGCGACCGAATGAACCAAGAGTATGATCTGAAGGTTAGTACTTTCTTCCTTTCTCTTGTCTCATACACTGATGTCTTTCAAATTTCCCTTATAACCTCAATTCCATACTTACCCATGAACCTTTATCCCAGTGCAACTTACAGCTGGCATTTGGTGATATGTGTTACTGTTAAGAACCATGCTCAAAGGAGAGAGAGACTGACTCAGAGGGGCTTGGCCTCAGCTCATATGCTGTGCCCCTTACCTGAGTATGTGCCCTTCATTTCAGAGGAAGTCCAATGATGGTCTGATGAAGTCTGGAGAACTTCTGGAGGCTGGCTACTCTGGTGGAGAGTGTGGGAGGACTTCCGGAGGAGTGTGGGAAACATCCGGAGAAGCACAGGAGAGTTCTGGAGGAATGCAGGAAATGCTCAGGAGAGTTCCCACTGCAAGGTAATACTTCTACAGGAAAACAGGATGGAAGGATAGGAGGTCTGGAGGACAGGAGGACAGGATGTCTAGAGGTATGGAGGACGGAACATCTGAAGGACAGGACACCCGGAGGTATGAGGGACAGGAGGTACAGAGGTACAGAAGACAGGAGGTCCAGAAGGAATAGGGGCTACATCAGATGAAGTCTGATGTAGAAGCAAATGGAGGTAGACTACCCTAAGGTAGAGTCAGAGGGACAGGAAGTGGACCTACATCCAGAAAGAGGGTAAGTGCCGGAAAGGCAAGACTCCAGCCTAGGGAAGCAATCCCTAGACTTGGGACAGAGACATAGGGGACAAATCCAAAGGTCCAGAATTCTGGCCTAGGGAATCCTTCCCTAGGCCTTATGGAAAAGGACAGGACTCAGACAGACTGAAGTCTGGAAGATGATTGGCAAGTAGAACAGGATCTAAGATGATATTCAGACTGAGGACTCTACTGTAGTTGTACAGGGGTTATATACTAGAGGCTATCTGAGAGGATCAGTAAGCAAAGGAGTAAGGCTATGTACGAGCATGTGGAAACACATTGGTAAGTAAGACAGAACATAAGTAAATGAACTTGGAGATGAAACTAGTACAAGGATCAATCAGCAAGATGGAAACAGAGATATCCGAGAACTGGAAAGGGGGAGATGCCTAAATGGGGATAGGTGCAGGATCTCAGACGGAGGGTGGGAATAGGTCCAGAGATAGTAACAGTTAATATCTGGAGGTCTGGAGATCTGGCAATCTGGAAGGCAGGGCAGAAACAGGACTGAGATATGTGAGGTGGTGGATGTAGTCTGGAATCTGAGAGGAGGTAAAGTCTGGATGTCTTGCTGGACGGAATGTGCATAGGGTGGACAGGATAGGGGATCCAGGAATGAGTCGGATATGGGGTCCGGAAATAGGTCCGGAAAGCGTGGGAATATGATGGGATCTATGTCTGGCATATGGGATATGACAGTTATGTTTTGCATGTTTGCATTGTGTGTTGTGCGTTGTGTGTTGTGTGTTGTGCGTTGTGCATTGTGCATTTTGTGTATGCTATATGTGTTATACATGTGTTTCCCTTGTATCTGGCCTTTGCTGGCCTTTCCTCAGTGCATGCAAAGCCTGCAGGCCTTCACCCCTAGTGACAACTCTTTTCAGAGTCACACCAGGAGGGGTAGACCAGGCACAGTGCAGGTGCCTTATGAGCGTTGCATTTTGCTGGCTGATCAACAAAGAGCAGCCTCACCCTCTTTGAATGCCAAATACTCTTGCTCTGAGAAAACACCTTGCATTACCTTGGGTTTTTCCAATGGCACACATGGACAACGCCCTCCAGCTGTGTGTGCTGTTTGTCTTGGGCAAAACAGTCACTCCTTCATCAAATATCCCACCGAGCGCCTCTGGGACAACTCCATCCCTGCAGTCAGCAAATGGGTCAACCATCAGCTCCTTATCCATGACACCAACAAGGCCCTTTGTGTTGATTGGCAAAGGGGACAAGGATGCTCAATGTTGTTAAGGTTGTACTCAAGGGATAACTGGATCCGAAGGGCTTTGGCCTCAGCTTGTGTGCTGTGCCCCTTACCCGAGTATTGCCCCTTATTTCAGGAAGGCAAGACTAATGCGTCCAGAAGGTTGGACAAGTATCATAATGGATCCGGATGACTTCCGGATGAGGGATAAGTATCATAGGGCTAATCTGGATGAGTCCAGACTAGAAACTAATGGTAATAGACTGTCGGAGACAGAGGCGGATACAGATAGACTATAGGAATCAATCCTAAGTCTCAGAGGGTGACGAGAGTAGAGATACTCAAGTCTGGAGGACAGGAATGAGTAGAACTAAGATGATGTTCGAACTGAGGTACTACAGAGAGTTACAGGAGGTTATATACTATAGGTATCTAATGGAATGATCAATCAGCAGAGTCTGAGGCTATGTATGAAGCATGTGGATAGTCTATTGGTAAGTAGAAACAGATCACAAATCATGAAATGGAAATGAAACATAGGTAATGGATCAGGGAGCAGGATGGATATACAGATAACCAAAATACCGGAGTTAGGGGGTTACCAAAAGGAGGCAAGCACTGGTTGTGGATTCGGATGAGTTGTGGACTGGACTGGACAAGTGGACAGATTGAATGACGAGATGTTGGAGGGAGATAAGATGTGGATAGGATCAGAGATAAGATGTGGATCTGAGATGAGATAAGGGTCGGATCTGAGATTCAGATATGCGGATATGACAAACGTGCTCTCACAATGAACAACATCTCTGTTCTGGTTGCTTGTCCCCCTCGCATGGAGCCCAGTTCTGCGATTGTGCTCAGATGTCTACTACCAGTATGTCCTTATAATGTGGTTGCTTGGGAGTGCCTGCTCTGAGAACATGGGCTGGAGGAATGTTATTGCTGAATTCCTGCTGGTTTTTGCAATGGTTTTGACTTGCACCTACCAAAGCTCTCCATCTCTCAAATACCACCCAATCACCCTTCACTTTCTCAGCATCGGGATGCCTTCAATGCCATCATTAAATGGGAACTCAACACTGGACATTACATTGGCCCTTTGTCATATGCCATTCTGGACTCTCAACTCTAAATCCGCTTCTCTGGATATCTGGATCCGAGATCCGGATCTCAAATGATCTGATCTATCTTTATCTCCCTTCCGGAATCCAAACCCTATATCAGTGCCCAACTCCATTTAGACTGCCCCTGTCTCCAGACTCCGGTTAACCATGTTTCCCTTTTGATTATTGATCCATTACATACATTTCATTTCCAGTGTTCATTATTTGTGATCTGTCCTACTTACTAATAGACTTTGCATATGCTTTGTACATAGCCTTTATGTTTGCTGACTGATTCCTATATGATACCTACAGTATATAAACCTCCTGTAACTCTCAGAAATACTCCAGTTCGAATATCATCTTAGTTCCTGCTCATTCCTGTGTCCTCCAGACTCAAGATAAGTCTCTTGTCATATTCCGAGTCTTAGGATTGCATCCTAGACTATATTTCCGACTCTACCTCAGGGTAGTCCATCCTCTGTTAGTTTCTAGTCCAGACTTCATCCAGATTAGTCTTATCCACTTGCCCAGGTAACATCTGGACGTCCGTCAGATTTATCTCATGTCTCAGATCCGAACGTCCGTTATCTGCCCCAGTCAAATCCTGGAAACTCCGGATGACTGTTCTAGCCCCCAGAAATTAAGGGCACATACTCAGGAAAGGGGCACAGCGTATGAGCTGAGGCCAAGCCCTTGTGATCCGACCCCCTCGAGCATGTGACCTTAACAGTATATTCAAACTCACACCTTTCCAAGTATACTTACATCTATCATGGCTCCTACCAAAACAACAAACCCTCTCCGAGCAGCCAGACTAGTTTCTGCCCACCAGGATTCTACCCCTATCATCGAAACCTTCAATAGCTTCTCTCAGCGTCGTGTTAGCCAGCGTGCTACTGCTGGAAGCATCTCAGAACTCCTGAGTCATCAACATCCGGAAACCCCTACATGGACCCCAGCCTTAGCCCCTCTGGGCAAAGGAGATCCAGATGACGATGACAATGATGATAATGATGATGATACCCCTGGCAGAAATCCACTGGATGGGAATGGTGGAAATCCAGACAATGATCCGGATGATGATGATGATGATGATGATGAAAATGATGGCCTGAATCCGCAGGACCACATCATGGTACTCCTATCCAGAGCTATCAACAACCTCGCCTGAAACAATCATTGCACCACCCTTTCTGAAGACCCAAAGGTCAAAGTCCATGAGCTGGATGTCTTTGATGGCACCGAGCCCCGGAAACTGCAAGCATTTTTTGTCCAGTGCGAACTCAATTTCCAAAGCAAACCCAATGCTTTCTGTACCAGAAGGTCTAAGGTCAACTTCGCCCAATCCTATCTCAAAGGCATGGCCCTTGAATGGTTTGAACCGGACCTCCTTTCCAATGAGAATACTGATCATCTGGACTGGATGGATGACTATTCCAAGTTCATGCTTGAACTCCAGACCAATTTCGGACCTCATGACCCCTCTGGAGATGTGGAAATGCAGCTCGAGCAACTCAATATGCGCGATGGACAGCACATCAATAAGTACATTGTGGAGTTCCAGCGGCTTGCCTCACAAGTCTGCGGATGGGGCGATGGAGCCCTACACCAACAATTCTATAACGGGCTTCCGGCTCATATCAAAGACAAAATCAGCCGCATGGGAAAACCCACTACCCTCCCGGAATATAAGACCCTCGCACAAACCATAGATGCCCATTATTTGGAATGCAAGGGAGAGATCTCCTGCAAAACCAAACCCTCCTCATCCACTCCTCCTAAGCAGTCAGCCTCTGACCGGACCAGCTCCCACTTGTCCGGATCTGGAAGTAACAAATCCGGAAATCAGAATTCCAGACATAAACCCAGAAAACCCACTATGTCCTCTACCTCGTCCGCTTCAAAGGCCCCGGACCTTACCTCCAAGTT